ATATATATAAACAAATACAGTATGTATTTAATTGTATAAATATGATTAATATACACTATACCACTGACCACTACGGTGCATACTTAATAGGCCTATGCATTAAAGTACAGATGATACAGTCACATAAGTCATAACAGCTCTCTGCCACTCTTGTGTTATTGTTTCCAAATGCTTGGTCAGATGTAAATATAAAACATTCGAATTTTACCTATTCAACTTTTGGGCATAAATACAAAGTAAATAGTCAAAGTTGTGTTCTGATTTTTATATTTTTGTTAATATATATATATACAACAACATACAATATGATTCGTAAATAGATTGTGTAAATTCTTTTTATTGTCAACTTCTGTATGTTAATTTGTTTTTGTGTACACATTATTATCTCTTGGTCGCGTATTCAACAACCATTTCATGAGTTCTCATTCCTGATACCATTCTGTAGGGAAACCGGAAACCCCGAACCCGAAACAACCGGGAAAGTGGAAAGTGTATTTTTATTTAAAATAAAATAAAGTTTGAAACCCTGTCAAAAAAACTGAAAACATCTTGTTGAATACTGGCTAAGTGCTGAGTGTGGTGCTGATCGCTTTTTTAATATTATACATTGTTGCAGACTTGCAGTGTTTTTTATACATAGGACATATAATGCTCTTGATATCAGGGCTGGTATAAAGTATACCAGAGGTAGAATTGGAGCGGCCAGTTCTAGTTCATCTACCGTTAATATGCATCTAGTCTACAACATCGCTGTAGGGGTGTGCACGGTCATGGTTCTGCCCCTACTGTACCGACATTCATACAGGGCTAACAAAGATTCAAATGATATAGGTAAGGATAAGGATTGCCTGCCAAGTCCTCCAGGTCGCATTTTCTGGGGAAACGCGCTTGAATTCATACCAGATCGTATGCATGAGTACATTTTAGCCTGTCGAAAAACGTACGGGGGCTTTATTTCGTATAATTTTGCTGGAAGGATGCTGTATGTGGTCTCAAATCCGGCGTTGGCGCGGAACATATTGCACGAGCAACGAAAATCTTTTACACCGTCGAGAAATTTCCAGGCTGTTTTCGGGGTTTTCTTCCCGCAAAGCGTATTGTGCTTAAAATGTGATAAGTGGAAAGTAGTAAGGCGTGTACTTCATTCTGCGATGGCGCACATGAGTGCAGAAAAATGGCTGCCAGAGGTGAAATTGGCGATGGAAAGGCAGGTTCAACCAGTACTTGAGAAGGCGGCCAAGGGTTGTGTTGCTAATTGCAACAAAGAAAACGCTAAAGGACTAGTGGATATTCGCGACGGTTCTGTAAATATCGAAGACTCAGTAGCTTATGGCTTATTAAACGCCTTCACCAGATTTGGGTACGGAATAGATGATTCGATTGATGAAAATATACGCCGAGGTGTACATGACAACGCACAAACAATTGCAACAGCTTAAAAAAAAATTTAAATACTCGACTGTACAGTCCTTCTAAGTTGTTGTGGCACATTTCTACAAAGATAAACCGGCGTATTAATCGAGCGCAATCAGAGATCATGGCTTTTGTTCGTGGGATAATGACCGCTCGCGAACCGGAACTAGTACTCAACCCAGAATGCGCGAAAGACAATATAGCTGATCAGTTTATCTTGGCGTCTATCGAAGCGAAACTGGATACAGCCACGGTGGAGGATAACCTGGCTATGCTATTATTTGCGGCATTTAACACATCCGCCAATACAATCAGCACAAGTTTGCATTTGATTTGCAGACATCCACAAGCGCAGATCGAAATTAACAAGCAGTTAAAAAACTGGATACAAACAACGTTCTCAAATTAAGACACTGAAAAAAGAAGTACCGTATCTAGAGTGGTGTATTTTGGAGAGTCAGCGGCTATATCCGGTCGCAATGATGTACTCGCGCACATCAGTGCCAGTGACCGTCGATGGATACGACTTCCCCGCCGAGAGTTCGTTTGCTATTCACAACATGGGTATGGGACGATATGCAAAGGAGTGGGGATTTAAGGATGATGACATAGATCCGTCAGCGTTTAGACATGAGCGTTGGGCTGAAGAAGGTCTATACTCACGTGTAACCACACATAATGTGTTCAATCCCTTAGGAGGGGGCCAGAGAAGGTGTCCTGGTATTGTCTTGGGTCAAGAGGAGGTGCGGATGGTTTTGGCTACGATTCTCACAGATTACGCCTTTGAAGCATCAGAACACCATGACATGGACTTCAAGGCTGCGCTCACACTCGGGAGTCGATATGGTGCCTGGGTCAAGGTGCGCAAGACAAGTGAGTACTTAAAAAAATGTGGAGGCGGGTCAGAATATTCAAGCACCGGGAGCACAATAAATATTCTATTTCCCTGAATATAATAGTTTAGGACAGGCATACACGTGCATGTCTAGTCGTAGGCCACAGTCTAGCCATGGCCTACTTTAGCAGCCTGCTGGATCCCAGGTCAGCGTACACTACTTCTCGTATAGCAAACTACAGTGATATGTCACCGAAGAAAAATTCTATACGTTTTATATCCGATTGTCTACGCCCTCCTTCGAGAGATTAACGGTACATGTGTATCCTATACGATGCATGGCGGATTGGCCAGAAAAGATACAAAGCACAGTCATATACATACAATAATATAAGAATATAAATATGTATGTATATCCATAGCTCTAAAAATATACATATCGGTTTGAAAAAGATAGTCATCACTGCGTAAAAAAAAGCTGTGTCGGACTTCGGACTTCGGACTTCGGAGTTCATGTTTACATTTGACGTATGCTCATAAATGCATTTGTTTTTTAAAGCTGGGGTATGGCTAGAGCTGCCGACATAGTATACCAGTGTCGAGTAAGTTAGCAACTCGTATCATCGCATATTGGATTATCACACTTATAAGGTGCTGATGCTAGAGAGAGGATGTCGACGGACACAAAGGAGAAGACCAATAAGGCACAGAAGGGCAAAGAAAAGGCTGCAGACTTATCGCACGTAAAACGCAAAGTTACACCAGAGAGTGAACAAATACTGAAGCATCAGAGATGCATATGCTTGGCAGCGATAGTATCTGTTGCCATACTGCTATCTGTCGCAGTAATTTATTTTGTCAACGAGAATACGGTAACCTTGACCGAGTATACTAACAATGTTGGCGAGCGGTCTAAGCAGATGCTGCGCGATCTCAAGAACAGTATGTTGCATATCAAGGTGTCCAAAGATTAATTGCTGAGAAAGACGAACATGGAAACACACAGGATATTTTCTTTGATAAACTATATAGTATACGTTCTTGGTAAAGTATATTTGTATTTTTGTATATATACGTTTGAATGCAAGTCTGTATACATGCAAACACA